AATCTGTGTAATTAAAGAGTATATATATATATATAATGAATAATAATCATAACACTCTATCACTAATATTTCTTATTTTAGTGGTTTACATGTCGTAGCAGTTACAAAAGAATAAAACCGTAAATGGAAACTTTCAGTACTAAATTTTTATTGATTTCATATAAATTTTAAATTTTAGAATCGGTATAATGTTATGTCACATTATTTTTTCTCCCCGTTAATAAATTTAAAATAAATAAATGCATTAACAACATGCACACATATAATAAATAATAATCAGAGCACACTATCACTAATATTTCTTATTTTAGTGTGATGCATTTCATAAAAATTGCAAACAGAAACTTTCAGTGCGAATTTTGTATTGAATTCATAAGAGTTTTAAATAGTAGAATTGGTATAAGGCTATGTCACAATATTTTTTCTTCCCCTTACAAGATTTAAATTAAGTAAATGCATTATCAGTAATTAAAGTCATTATCATTAATTAAAGGCATTCTCATTAATTATTATTGATTTTACAAGTAAATACAATATCACACTTATGTGATATATAATAATAATCTAAATAGCCTTTCCGTAGTATTTTTGTCAATTTTTGTGGCATAAATTGCATGAAAAATTCAAAGAAATAACAGGGAGCAAAATCAACTTTCAATGAAAAATTTCACTTAATTTGTTCTATGCTTTAAATCAAGTTACGAATACCTTCCATATCTAATTGTTATCAATAGCGAATCTCAATAAAAAAAATTCATTAAATCATAATACAACATAAGGAAAAGGAAAATGTTTCGTGTGTTTTCCTTGGAATATAAATTGTTACTCATAATTTTAAAAAAAATGTATATTTCTCTCTTCACCTACTTAAATCCCCTCTATTAAAAGGCATTTATATGAAAACTAAAAACAATTTATTTGTGTTAATGATTCAGTTTACGTAAAAGCAATAATTTTGCTACCAATAAAAAAATAACAATTTGTACAATTTGAATTTTTAATAATATTTGACTTATTGATAAATCTACTTACTCACAAATTTTCTGATACCTTAGATTGAATTTATCATTAACCCTTTGACGCAGAAATTTTATTAAACATTTTTTATGTACTTTTTTCATTATTTTGTATTAATTTAGATCAAAATAAAAGGAAAAATATTATGTATTCAAAATGTTTATTATTTATGATTAAGAAAAACAGCATAAAACACAGGTGACCTTTTCTGCGTTGAAAGTAAAACATTTTTTGGAACACGGCGCACTCCCAAACAATACTTTTTCAAATTTACATTTATTTGCAGTTACATGGATCTAAGAAAAACATTCATCAATTAAATTATTTTTCATTTACAAAATCGTGATGGCTCAGAACGTTCTCCTTCCAATGAGGTGTACTGGGTTCGAATCCCAGCTATGGCAGGTCAATACGAATTCCGCATCCGGCTTGCACCTAACACAATACTGACGTGAAATATTCTCAGTGGTAGACGGATAATGGGTTAGAGGCCCCTAGCCGTCAGACTAACGCTGGGAGGCTTTCTTGGTTTTCCTAACCATGCAACGAAATGCAAGTTAGTTCTATCAAAACGTCCTCCACGAAAGCAAATTTCTCCCAATACTCGATCCAGGAGTTCCCTTGTCTTCTGGATTGGGTTCAAAATTAATAGGCTATGGAGTTTAACATTATTAGTAGTAAATCCAAAAAATTGGGACAGCTGTTCAACGACGGTTATAAAATATAAGATTTACAAAATCAATAATTGAGACACTTTTGACTATGAAAGAAGAGAGCTCGTACTACCTCTTTGAATTTTATATTTTAGTGCAAATATAATTCCGATAATCTAACCGATTTTCTTTAATAATTATTCGACAATTTTCCATAATTAAAAAATAACGAAACATATTTTTATTAGAGAGTTAAAAAAAATACATAAAAAAAGGGGCACCGGTGTCCCATCTGCGTAAAAGGGTTAAAAGACTCATACATTTGTAGTTCTTCTAAAATTTTAAAAATCAAACAGTTTTTGCCATATTTTTATAACCTTTGATCTTAGTAAAGAATTCAAATACTTCCGAGACATGACGTCAATCACTCCCTTTTCTAAAGATTTGTTTTTTCCGATGCACAAATTAGCTCTATAATGATGAACCAAAGCTTGGTTAGCCGGAATAAAACATTCTTGATAACCTAGAATAAGTTCCCACACATGATGCACCCCAGCAACAATAACATGTTCAGGCTTCACAATATATTTTGTTCGCACCATATACGGATATATCAATTTCTGACGGTGAATTCGAGTTTGTGTTATAAATTTAGGAATAACGAGTGGTAACAAGTCTTGTTCATATTCTAAACAGAAAACACAACTTCTAAAAATAAAACTGGAAAAATGTTTCCAGTTTAAATCGTGAAGAGACAGTAGCTGCGTTAGATTCATCACATGCCTTGGCGTAATAAATTCATCTAAATCCACCACTACTACGTAATCAGATATACCACTGTGCCTGAATATGCAATCATTAATGCTGGCAATCTGTCCCAAGGCCCACATGCTCTCGATATCCTTTGGTAGGCTCCATGGTAACAATTCGATGGCGTAGTTGTTTTTTTGAAGTTCGTAAATAAGGACATCAATATCATCCGAAATGTCATATTTGTAGAATGTTAGACGATCAATTCCCAATGCTTCGTAGTAGGCTACGAACTCTGCTATATGGAATGAATCTGTGTAATTAAAGAGTGGTCTAACGCAGACTCCAATTCTTGATGGAAATAGACTTCTTTGCGAGTATTGCACTTTGATCCAAATCAGTTTATTTACCCATGAGTTGTTCCAGTTTAATGGCACCAGCGTAACATATTTAGGACGATCTTCTTGTATTGACGAGCAGATTACATAAATTGCTTTGCTTTGTTGATTATGGTGTTCAATTAGAACTTTGTACTTGGAAGATGCTTCAATGTAAGCTCCCGAATCACTATGATTTGTAAAAAGGCATTTAATGTGTAAGGTGTTGTTTGATATGTTTGCTCCACCTATAATCCTAACAAAAGAGTCATTTAAAAATCTATCCTCCCAAAAAGCAGAATAAGCATACACTTCATCAGTGATCTGTTTCCAATCATCGTACTTCTTCTTTGCGTTTTGACACGATTTAAGACGTATTTTGTCGTTTTTTGAATGTCTTTGGGCATTGTCAGCTATTATTTGTATGATTGGAGGACGGTTTTCGATGAAGTTTGTAGTTGACACGTAGCTATGGAGATTTAGTATGTAAGTGAATTCTTGTGTAATGCAAATTATGAAAGTCACTACAATGAACAATGACAACCATGTTAGACGTGAAAATAAACATTGGGTTATCATTCTACACCAGATGAAGAAATTATGCTTCCTATTGAAACTGATGATAAGAAAATCCATCCTGTCAGAAAATCTATAAATAAAAAAAAAGTTCTTAAGGAATTTCATAGGGATTGAATATATGCTATATCATATTCCAGAAATGGTGAAGAAAGGAGGAAAGAGATAGCGATGTACAGTAGGCAGCGTTTTGCTTACGAAACTAGTTAAATTTTATCTCGAATTGTTCAAAAACTAATTACAATGTCAGCCAACAGATAGCACTTCTGTCGTCAACTATAAGGAAAAAAAATTTATGCAAGTCAAATCACTCTATCTGAAAGTTTTGGGCATGATTGTTAGGAAGGCCACACGCTAAGGAGGCAAGCGGTATGTTAGAGACATACACGAGACAGATTCCCATACTTCAGCATAAGCATACGCGCATCACCTCTGCGCATCCTAATGAGAAGTTGCCTCATTTTTACCGCTTGCCTCGCCAGTGTGAATCCGGCCTTAATTTTATCATAAGACTACGTGACGTTATTGCTGCAAACAAATCTATAGTGAGCATTGTTACAATTGGTTTTCCACAGTTAGGAGAGCTATTTTTTCTCAAACTGTGATAATAAATTTTAAATTTTGTGAAAATAAATTTTCTGGTCATCGAAGTCATCAGCACTGCAAACAGTGCATTTCTATTTCTGTCCGTTTATCATTCTGCGGCATTTCTTTACTCTAGGTCATTTTTGGGTTATCCTATATCATAATGTGAACTATATAAGGTATCTAAGTATCCGCCCCCATGGTATAAAAATCTTAAAAGATAATTGTTGCTAAAAGTATCCTTGGAAACATTAATGTGCAAAATATTTTATTCATAGAAAGTATTCTTATGTTATTATAAATCATACATGAAAGTTCCATATTCTCTTCAACATTTTCTCCCTTTTTCTCAAGACAACCAGACTAACAGTTTTGAAGTTCAAAGCGTTTTATGTTTAAAAAGTACAAATTTATACTTGCACCTATTTACGCATCTGATATTGCTATCTAAACTGGTGAGACAGAGTCTCGTGCATTTTTTCATTCTGAATTTAATTAAACTTATCACAAATTCATAAAATTCATAAGTTGCAAGAGTTTATGCATAAAAAGTGTTTCTTTGAAACGTTTTTATGCATTCACTTTACAATGCTATCAATGTAATTTTTTATAATGAAATGTAGGAGGCAAATCAGGATTATAAATTGCTAAAAAGTTATAAAAAATTTGTTTTTAAAAATGGCAATCTTTTATTTACATTTATTTACGTTTCTTAAATTGCTATACAGAAAAGAAAGGCATTGTTTGATAAGCATTTTTTTTCGTTCAATCGAATAAGACCAAACATGAATCAAAAAGGCTTATATATCAAACGTTGAAATAATTGGGTTTTTTTACATAAAAAATTCTATTTTAGAACTCTACTTCATAATTATTCCTATTATGTCTTTCATAATTATTACAATTAATACTATAAACTCGAGTTTTATAAGAATCAATTTAGTAAAAAGCGTTTTATCGATAAATATGCATTTCCTTTTGACATTTTTATACCTTAATTTAGATAATTCCGGGAGATAGCACACATTTTCATGGAAAACATTTATTTCATGGAGCGCATTTTGTTTAAATAAAAATTAACACTATAAAAATATTTTATGATTTCTTGCAATGCAGAAGATATTTTGTACGAGTTAAAAGATGAGTGTCAATGTTTGAGAAAACTCATTTAGGTTAAGAAATATCTCTAGAAAATTTAGAAAAAGAGCTTCTTTAGACTAAAATACGCTGCGTTTTCTGTAAACATTTCGCTAACAAAAGGGTTGACATTTTTAGAATATTTTAATATTTTTTGCAAAGTGGAATTCATTTAAAACTAGCTTCATATTAAAAGATGACTTTCAGTTTGTTCAAAATCACCCTTACAGAATGAGAAATATTTCTAGAAAATTTATGAAAGATCTTATTTAGTACGAAATACGCTACATTCATAGCGCGCATTTTGCTAAATAAAGAAGTTCGAGAATATTTTATAATTTTTTGTTATGTGGAACTAATTTGCTACAAATTTCATACTAAATCATGTGAGAGGTAAATTTTTTTGAAAACACTCATATTACTGGAAACTTTTTTTTTAAAAAAAAAGAGTTTCTTTAATCCATAAAAAGCTACGTTCATAATAAGCATAATGCTGAGGTAAAGGTTGACATTTTCAGAATATTTTATAATTTTTTCATTGCAGACTTCATTTGATATTGGTTCATATGAAAAAAGTGAGCATCAGTTTGTTTGTAAACGCACAAATAGGTTGAGAAAAAATTCTAAGAAAATTACTTAACACGAAACACGCTTTCTTAATACGAAACACTCTTCAAGAACACTTTTTGTTGAAATAAAGGTTAACACTTTTTAATATTTTTTATTTTACTTTTTTTCAAGGCAGAACACATTTGTATGTGTTTTCATATTAAAAGGTGAGCATCAATTTGTTGGAAAGCATTATTAGAATTTGAGAAATATTTATAGCACATTTAAAAAAAAAAAAGCTATTTATGCTTAGCTTATTTAGACCAAAGCACATGTAGAACTTATTTGAGTATTGTTTCATATTAAAATATGAGTATAAATTAGTTCAAAAACTCCCACATAAATTGAGAAACATTTATAAAAAAGAAGTTTCGTTAATGCAAAGCAAGCAAAGTTTCGTACGCGAAAATGGTATTTTGCTAATTCGTACGCGAAGTATGTACACCGAAGAGCCATTACATAATGACCACCCTGCTAATAACATGTAGGACCACCTTTACCCCTCAAAACTGCTAGCACCCGCCATGGCATTGATTCCACAAGGTGCTGATAAATTGTCTGAGGTATCTGGTACCAAGCGCTTACCAACTGGTCCTGCAATTCCCTCACATTGCGAGGGGGTAGCGTGGCAGCACGAATTTGGTTTTCCAAGTAGGACCACAAATGGTCTATTGGATTAGGTCAGGTAAATTTGGGGGCCAAGACATGACTTGAAAGTCACTGGAATGTTCTTCGAACCTAACCTTATGACATGGTGCATTATCCTGTTGGTAAATACCATCCCCAGCAGGAAAAACTGTTGCCATGAAAGAGTGAACTTGGTCTGCAAATATGTTCAAGTCGCTTACAGACGTCAGGGATTGTTCTATGAGGATTATGTATCCTAATGTGCCCCATGAAAATATTGTTTCTGGGCGAGAAACCATGAAAACCTGGACGTGCTCATTGTTATGGATGGAGGGTGGTCCTAATGTAATGACTCTTCGGTGTACTTTACTGATGTAAAGGGTGAACATTTTAAGAGCATTTTATAATTATTTGTAACGTGGAACTCATTTGAAGCTGTTTAATATTAAAAAGTGAGGGTCGATATAATTGAACACAGTCATATAAGTTGAGAAATATTTGCAGAAAATTTAAAAAAGTGAGTTTAGTCCGAAGTACATAGTATGCATTATGCTAACAAAGAGATTGAATCTTTGAAACAATTTTATAAATTTTTTGCAATGCGGAACTCATTTGAATAAGATTTCTTATAAAATAGGGAGCATTAATTCGCATCAAAATACTCATGTAAGTAAGAAAATATTTGTAGAAAATATAACAAAGAAGCTTCGTTAGTCTAAAATATGATGCGTTTACAGTATGAATTTGTCTAGTATAAAGGTGGGCACTTTGCAAATATTTTACAATTATATGCAATGAGAAACTCAATTTAATACGGTTTCAAATTGAAAGGTAAGCGTCAATTCGCTTTAAAACACAAATATAAGCTTAGAAACATTAATTGAAATTCAAAAAAAAAAGGGTTTCTTTATTAACTTCTACATCTAAGTGTCAAATATATAAGTTCCAAAATTAACTGTCTGAAGTGGGTGTGAACTATATTGCCAAAAATTAATTAAGTTACAAAGTCAGACACGATAGCGTGCTCTCTCTAGATAAGAATACCTTATATTCGATAGATTTGCATTTTAATTTATCAAAACTTGGGGGAGGGAGCAGCCACAATCTATGAAATATGGTCCCCATAGTTGGGTCAAGAGATGGGTTTAAAGTTTGGAACCTTTAATGTTATTTACTTTTTAAGTATTTCGCTATATCTTGGAGCATTTTAAACGAATTTAAAATTGATTGAATTTTATTTTAAAAGTTTCAAAAGTCGTTTAACCAAGATAATTTCATTTCATATTATTTATAACAATAAGTTATTATTTTTATTGTGATATTTTATAAGAGACACAATTTTAAAACTTTAAGATTACAGATTTTTTCACCATTTTAAATTATGCGATTTTAAATGACATAGTGCAAAATTTAAGCGAATTCGATCAATTTCAGTTTTATAAAATTCCAAGTAAAAAAGTTATATTATTAAACGTCTATTTCTGAAGAAATATTCAGCCGATTTCGCACAAAGATTGGTTTTTGCCTTCCAGAATTACACAATTTAAATGAAAAAATATTTTTTCTCTTTCACTTCTGATTAAATAAAACAATAAAAAATAATAAGTAACAAATAAGTCCATTTTCAAAGGCAATATTTTATTTAGATATATGAATATTTTTAATTGCATGAAAAAATATTTTAATTCTTTTAAAAGTTTCCCCAGGTGGGACGAAATACGCAAAGATGCAAAAAAACTTAAAAAGACTCAAACTTCCTAACAATCTCCTGACAAAACTATTTGGACCCTATTTTGATAGTTAAAAATCTGAATCCATTGAAAAAAAAATTTGTCTATTCAAAGACTTTTTCGAGTGTAATTTTGTAACTTAATAGCTAATACTAATTGATTAGCTTTCTTGAAGTCATTAAAATTGGTATTCAGTTTGCGAAAATCTTATAATTTGAACAAAAATTGTTTAGGGCTATTATATTATATACAACGCATAAAACGAAATATAAAAATTATAATATAATATATAAAACTTTTATAACAATATATAAATTTATTATATTGCTTTTATTTTGCGCAATGTAAACTTATTTACACATCTCTCATGA